AACTGCTGCCAAGCAGCCAGCAGCAGCAGCAACAGCAGCAGCAGCAGCAGCAGCAGCTACTGCTGCTGCAGGGCAGCAGAGGACGGTCCAGCGCGCATGCAGCGCTAGGGACCACTCAGCAGCAGCAGCAAGAGCAGCAGCAGCAGCAGCAGCAAACGCGCATGCACCGGCGCTACACTGTGGCAGGGGGTTGTGAGCCTGACTGGCAGCAGCAGCAGCAACACCAGCAGCAGCAGCAGCAGCAGCAGCAAGAGGATGATGACGAGGGGCCCTATTTTGTGCTACAACGGCAACAGGTCCTGCAGCCGCAGGTGCAGCAACAGCAGCAGCAACAGCAAGTGCAGCAACAACAGCAACAGCAGCACCTACAGCAACAGCAACACCCGCAGCAGCAGCAGCACCAGCAGCAACAACTGCATCAGCAACTGCAGCAGCTCCCGTCCTGTGCTGAAGCCACTGCGGCATCGTTTCCAGTCACAAACAGAGCTGCAGCAGCAGCAGCAGCAGCAGCAGCAGACACAGCAGCAGCAAATGCTTCACGAGCATCTTCAGAAGAAGCAACAACTCGAAAGAGTCGCCGCAGGAAGCGACACAGCCGCAGCAGCAGCAGCAGCAGCAGCAGCAGTGACTCAGGAGAGAAGCAGCTGCTGCAGCTGCAGCTGCAGCAGATGCAGCAAACGATTTTAAAAACGCAAGAAATGCTGCTGCAGCAGCAGCTTCTGCTTCTGAATCTCGAGCAGCGCATGCAGCAGCGCAGCAGCAACGACTGCCGTGAACAACCTGCAGCAGCAGCGGCAGCAGCAACTGCTGCTGCTGCCGCTGCTGCTAGTGCTTCTGCTGTTTGTACACAACATATCGCAGCACCGCATGATCAGCAGCAGCAGCAGCAGCAGCAGCAGCAAAGGTATAAACCTTTCACGGTGAAAAGGCAGCAGCACAGCGACGATGAGCAGCAGCAGCAGCAGCAGCAAGTGCTGCTGCAGCAACAGCAACAGCAGCAGCAGCAGATAGGCTCTTGGATGCAAGCGCAGTGCAGAGCTGATGGCGCGGCGCAGCAGCAGCAGCACACCTACGGTGCTGCTGCTGCTGCTGCTGACGCAGAATTGCTGCTGCAGCAAAAGGCTATGAAACGGGAGCAGCGACAAAGGAGGCGCAGCGCGAAGCTGCAACAGCAGCAAGAGCAGCAGCAGGAGGAAGAGCAGCAGCAGCAGCAGCTACTGCTATCGCTGCAGCACCAACAGCAGCAGCGGCACGAGCAAAAGCGAGAGCAGCTGCAGCAGAAACAGCAGCAACAAGAGCTAGAGGACATGCTTCGAATGGGGCGGCGGTGCAAGCAGCAGCAACGGGAACAGCAGCAGCAGCAGCAGCAGCAGCAGGAGCTGCAGCAGCAGCGAGTGAAGCAGGAGGCAGCTGATCTGCTGCTCTTCCCTGAAGCAGCAGCACCTGAGGGCTGGTGTGTGTACAGCAGCGACGACGAGCGCAGCAGCGGCAGCAGCAGCAGCGACTGCAGCAGTAGCAGCGATGTCGATGAAGAGCCTTCAGTAGCAGCAACAGCAACAACAGCAGCAGCAGCAACAGATGGCACCCCACAGTCCCTATCGCCGTTGCTGGGATCGTTCGATCCCGCAGCAGCAGCTGCAACTGACAGCAGCTCAGCAGCAGATGCTGCTGAGCTGCTGTCAGATGATGAAGAGCAGCAGCTGCCTCAATCGCTTCTGCGTGAAGGACAGAACAGCGAAGAGGCCCAGAGGGAGTTGCTGCTGCAGCAGCTGCAGCAGCAGCAGCAGCAGCAAGAACTGCTGCTGCCACTGGAAGAGACGTTGGACTCTGATCAGCAGTCTGATGACGACACAGAAGCAGCAGCAGCAGCAGCAGAAGCAGCAGCAACAGCAGCAGCAGCAGCAGCAGCAGATACTTTTGCTGCTGCTGCTAGTATACATACACCCGAAAGCAGGAACTCAGCCAAACGCCGTAAGCACCGCAGCATTGACGCAGCGGGCTGGCAGCAGCAGCAACAGCAACAAGCACAGCAGCAGCAGCAGCAGCAGCAGCAGCAGCAGCAGCAGCAGCAGGAACGAGAGCAGCAGCTGCAGCAGACACAGCTTCCGGATGAAGAGCCTGCAGCAAAGCCCAAGAAGAAAAAGGGCGCAGCAGCAGCTGCAACAGCAGCAGCAGCTGCAACAGCATCAGCTGCTGCAACAGTAGCAGCTGCAGCAGCTAGTGAAGCAGCAGCACCAACGGAAATTGCAACAGCAGCAGCAGCTGCTGCTGATTCTGAAGACGCATCAACAGCAGCAGCCGCAGCACCGGATGCTGCAGCAGCTACTGCTTTTGCTGCTGCACCGAAGCACAAGAAGCAGCGGGTGCTGCGGCATGAGATTATTCAAGGCCCATACAGCAGCAGCAGGAAGAAGAGACAAAAGCTGCTGCTGCTGCTGCAGCAGCAGCAGCAACAGCAAGAGCGCCACAAGAAGAAAACCAATCGCTTAAAAGCAAGTGTTACTGCAGCAGCAGAAGAGACCCAGCGGCAGCAACCCTCTTTGCTGCAGCAGAAACAATATGAGCAGCAGCAACAACAAGAGCTGCAGCAGGAGCATGAGGAGGAGCTGCAGCAGGAGCTGCAGCAGCAGCAAGAGCGGCATAAAAAGAAGACAAACCGCTTAAAAGAAGCTGTTGCTGCAGCAGCAACTGATGACACTCCACAGCAGCAGCAAACCTTTCTGCTGCAGCAGCACGAGTACGAGCAGCAGCAGGAAGAGCTGCAGCAACAGCAGCAGCAGCAAGAGCGGCCAAAGAAGAAGGCAAGTCGCTTAAAAGCAGCAGTTGCTGCTGCTGCAGCTGCTGCAGTAGCAGATGGCCCTGTGCAGCAACAAACCTCGTTGCTGCAGCAGCAGGAAGAGCTGCAGCAGCAGGAAGAGGGACAGCAGCAGGAGGAAGAAGAGCTGCACCAACAGCAGCAAGAGCGGCACAAAAAGAAGACACGTCGCTTAAAAGCAGCAGCTGCTGCTGCTGCAGCAGCAGATGATGGGCCGCAGCAGCAGCAAAGCTTGCTGCTGCAGCACCACCAATACGAGCAGCAGGAAGTGCCGCAGCAGCAGCAGCAGCAAGAGCGGCACAAGAAGAAGACAAACCGGTTGAAAGTAGCAGCAGCAGCTGCTGCTGCAGCAGATGATGGCCCGCAGCAGCAGCAGTCCGTTCTGCTGCAGCAGCAGCAGCAGCAGCACGAGCAGCAGCAGCAACTAAGTGCATGCGTTAAGATCCCAAATGAGAAGCACAAAAGAAAGATTGCGAAAGCAGCGAAAACTGCAGATTCTTCTGCAGATGAGCTTGAAAGACAAGCAGCAGCAGCAGCAGCAGCAGCAGCAGCAGCAGCAGCAGAAGCAGCAGCAGCAGCAGCAGTAAGCGCATCTCCCACAGACGCATACAATAGTAATGACGAAGACGCAGCAGTAGCAGCAGAAGAGGAGGCAGCAAGGGAGAAGCAGCAGAAGAAGAAGCGTAAAAAGAAACAATTAAAAACCCTCATAATATGATGCAGCAGCAGCAGTTGCTGCTGCAACACAGGCAACTGCAGCAGCAGCAGCAGCAGCAACAGCAACAGCAATTGCTGTTGTTGCAGCAGCAGCAGCAGGGACACCAAAATTGGGTTCTTCCTGCTGTTGCTGCAGCAGCAACAAACTATTTCGTTTCGCCAGTGTGAACTGTTGTGATGATGCTTGAAGGGTTTAGGGTTTAGGGTTTACAGTTTAGGGTTTAGGGTTTGCAGTTTAGGGTTTAGGGTTCAGGGTTCAGGATTTGCTGCCTCGTGCCTACAGCTACGGAGGCGGTTTAGGGTTTAGGGTTTAGGGTTTAGGCCTGCAGACTCTGCTGCAGAAGTCCGCAGCAAAATTTGCTGCTGTTTGCTGCGGCAGCGCCGCTACTTCGCTGCTACAGCTCAGGAGGGGTTTGTCTGGGGGGGTTAGGGTTTAGGGTTTAGGGTTTAGGGTTTAGGGCTTTTAGGGTTTTTAGCTGTCGGCAACAGAGTAGCCTTTGGGATTGGGGAGAAAGGGCTGACTTTAATGAATTAGGGTTTAGGGTTTAGGGTTTAAGGTTTGTTTAGAGCGCAGCAGTAGTAGCCCTCGTGGGGGTTAAGGGTTTAGGGTTTAGGGTTTAGGGTTCCGTGCTCGCCCTTCGCCTCGGAGCGAATTGTTGATTACTTTATTTGGACGCATGTAAAAAATAAATTAATTTAACTTTCAACGTTTAGAATTTAAGGTTTAGGGTTTAGGGTTTAGGGTTTAGGGTTTAGGGTTTAGGGTTTGAGTCACCACCACCAACCCCACCGCAACAGAGGGGCCCCCTTTGCATGCAGACAACGCGTTGCAGGCTGAGGGTTGAGTTGTAGCGGTTTAGAAATAAGGGTTTAGGGTTTAGGGTTTTGTTAGCAGAGCTTGCGGCAGAAACTTCCTAGGCCTGGGAGTGCTGCTGCTGCTGCTGCTGCAGCGGCTGCTGCTGCTGCTGCTGCTGCTGCTCCCGGTGTGCCGTCTATCCAAACCCTTCTTGGGTGGTAGACGCAACAGAAAACACCGGATCAGCAGCAGCAGAGGCAGCTGCAGCAGCAGCAACAACAGCAACAGCAGCAGCAACTGCAGCAGCAGCAGCAGCAGCGGCAGCAGCAGCAGCATGAGGTCACCTCTCCCTATTGATCTGCAAGCGACGCGAACCCCACAGCGTCGTCCGCTTCACAATGAGCAGCAGCAGCATGAAGTACTGCAGCAGCAGCAGCAGCAAGAGCTGCAGCAGCAGCAGCAGCATCAGCAGCAAGTACAGCACCAAGTGCAGCAACAGCAACAGCAACTGCTGCTGCAGCATGACAATGCAGGGATAACGTACGAAGAAGAGCGTCTGCTGCTGCTGCAGCAGGTACGTGAGCAGCAGCAGCAACTGCTGCGGCAAGAGCGGCTGCTGCAGCAGCTGCTGGCGGAGAACAGCGAGCTGCAGCGGCTGTCTCCTTTAAGGAGCAGCAGCAACAGCAACAGCAACTCAGTCCTCGACCAACACCGCCAGCTGCAGCAGCAGCAGCTGCTGCTGCAGCAGCAAGAGGCCTTCCTTCTGCATGCACAGCCAAACTCGCAAAGCATCGCAGCTGCTGCCGCTCCTCTGAAGGCGCAGCAGCTGCAGCAACAACTGCAGCAGCAACAGCAGCAGCAGCAGCAGCAGCAGCAGGACCTGTGGCAGCGGCATACGCCGAAGAAGCAGCGGACGGCGGACTCGCAGCAGCAACAGCAGCAGCAGCAGCAGCAGCTGTGGGACAACAGCAGCTACAGCCGCTTGTACAGTAGCAGCAGCAGCTGCTGCTATAACAGCAGCAGCAGCAGCAGCAGCAGCAGCAGCAGCAGCCACTACAGCAGTTTCCCCAGCCACCAGCAGAGGGGTCCCGTCGTCGTTCCCTTTGAGCTGCTGCTGCAGGAACAGCTGCAGCAGCAGCAGCAGCAGCAGCAGCAGCATCACCAGCTGCAGCAGCAGCTTCTTTTGCAGTTGCCGCATTACACGCGTGATCTGCAGCAAACGCATGCACACGAGCAGCAGCAGTTGCTGCAGCAGCAACGCAGCTGCAGAATTAAGAGCAGCAGCAGCAGCAGCAGCAACAGCTGCAGCAGTGGCACTCATAGCGAAAGCTACAGCGACAGCAACTGCAGCAGCAGCAGCAGTCGCAGCAGCACCATTCGGCGCGCAAGAAGAAACAGCCGCTGCAGCAACGGCAGCAGCAGAGACAGCAGCTGTAGCACCGCACGCAGCAACAGCAGCAGCAGCAACAGCAGCGGCGGAGACGAGGGGATCAGCGACGATGGAAGCAGCAATAAAAGCAGTAGCAGAAGCAGCAGCAGCAGCAGCAAAAGGTTAAGGTTTGGGCGGGGCCTTTATGCGCGCCGACACAGCAGCAGCAGCAGCAGCAACAGTAGCAGCGGGGAAGACAGCAGCAGCAACTGCAGCAGAATTGGTTATGGTTGCAACGGCCGCCGTCGCAGCAGCAGCAGCAACAGCAGCAGTAACAGCGGCACAGACAGCAGCAGCAGAAGCAGCAGCAGCAGAGCACACGAGGCTTCTGACGGGGACAGCGAAGATATAGCTGCTGCTGCTGTAGCACCTGCTGCTGCTGCATCAGCTGCTGCTGCTGACCGTGGAGCGGCGGATGCCGCTGCAACTGCAGGACGGCCCAAACTGGAGCAGCAGCAACAGCAGCAGCAGCAGCAACAAGAGCAGCAGCAGCAACAACAACAGCAGCAGCAGCAGCAGCAGAGCAAACGACAATACAGCAAACGGCGGCGCATTGGGAAGCGACAGGGCGCAGCCGCAGCACGAGCTGCTACTGCTGCACTTGCTGCTGCTGCTGCTGCTGCTGCAGCAAAGCAGGCTAAGAAGGAAGCAGTTCGGGTGCTGTCAGCAGCAGCTGCTGCAGCAGATTCCTGCGAAGAGGAGACGCAACACTTACTGCTGCTGCAGCAGCAGGAGCAGCTTGAACAACTGCAGCAGCAGCAGCTGCTGCTGCTGCAGGTCCCTGCTGTTGCGCCTCTCTGGCTAGGGCGCCTGCAGCAGCTGCTGCTGCAGCTAAACCCTAATCATGGTAAGCAGCAAACCCTAAACCCTAAACCCTCTACATAGAAACAAAACCGCAGCCTTATCCTAGCCGTAGGAAAAAACACTTTAGGGTTTAGGGTTTAGGGTTTAGGGTTAAGGGTTTAGGGTTTAGGGTTTAGGGTTTGTGCTGTGCGGTTTATTCAGTCGAAGACGCCATCGCCAATTGCAGCAGCAGCAGCAGTCCGCTGCAGCTGCTGCGGGTCGCTGCTTCAGTACGATCAGCAGCAGCAGCAGCAGCAGCTGCTGCTGCTGCTGCTGCTGCTCCAGGAGAAGCACCAGCAGTTCAGCTGGGGCCCCCAGCAGCAGCAGCAGGAGTGTCTATTCACCATGCCTTGGTGCTGCTGCTGCGAGGCTGCATGCGTGCAAGTGCTGCAGCAGCAGCACAACTGCTGCTTGCTGCTGCTGCTGTAGCAGAACCCAGCGCGCAGCACCCGCAGCAGCAACAACAGCAGCAAGTCTTGCTGCTCCAGCTGCAGCAGCAGCAAGATATCTCGTTCCTGCAGCATTTAGCAATAGCCTTTGGGCACGTGAACATCAACAGCAGCAGCAGCAGCAGCAGAAGCAGCAGCAGCAGCAAAAACAGCAGCAGCCGGCTGCAGCGGCGGCAGCATAGAGTGCCCCCTCTGCTGCTGCTGCTGCTGCTGCTGGAGTTGCTGCAGCGGCCACTGCTCCAACAGACTCTACTGCAGCAGCCTCCGGTGCTGCTGCAGCTGCTTCACCTTTGCTGCTGCGTGTCGACGACACCCCACAGGCGGCAGCAGCAGAAGCGAAAGCAGAAGCAGCTGCAGCAGCAGCAGCAGCAGCAGCAATGCGGTGTTTGTCGCATGCATAAATGCATTCATGAGGGGCTGTGTAGAATGCTGAGCATTCCGCTTTGGCCTTTGCTGCTGCTGACGGGGTTCTTGCTGCAGCAGCTGTCGCCTGCTGCTGTTGCTGCTGCTGCTGCTGCTGCAAAAGCACCCGATGAGGCGCAGCTGCTGAAGATGCTCAAGCAGCAGCAGCGCCAGCAGCAGCAGCAGCAGCAGCAAGAGCAGCAACAAGGCCACGCTGCTCGGCTACTGCAGCAATTTGCTGCGTATCTTCTTTCGCAGGCAGAGAAACTGAGGGAGAGTCTTGCTGCTGCCAGCAGCAGCAGCAGCAGCAGCAGCAACAACAGTAACACACGATGCAGCAGGAGAGGGGGTGGGCGACGGCTGCAGCAATTCTTGCAGCTCTGCTGCGTCCTTAATCACCTTCGGCCCCAGCAGCAGCAGCAGCAGCAGCAGAGAGGCCTGCAGCAGCAGGGGCTCCTCCCAACTCAGCAGCAGCAACAGCAGCAGCAGCAACAGCAGCAGCAGCAACAGCAACAGCAGCAACAGCAGCAGCTGCTGCTGCTGCTAGGTGCCGTTGCATCATGGGCCAGCGCGCGGCGCTTTTGCCTCCGTCGCTGTATAAACAGCAGCAGCAGCAGCAGCAGCAGCAGCAGCAGCAGCAACATATGGCAACAGCAGCAACGGCATCTGCAGCAGCAGCAGCGGTTGCTGCGACTTTTGCTGTATGCAGTGAACTATTGGGCTGTGGCTGTAGCTACACCCCACACAGCTCTCAAGTTTGCTGCTGCTGCTGCTGCTGCTGCAGGCTCCGCAGGAGCTGCTGCTGTTGCTGCTGCAGGCTCCGCAGGAGCTGCTACTGCTGCTGCTGCTGCTGCCCCCCAGGAGGCTGCTGCTGCTGCTGTTGGAGGTTCCCCAGTAGCTGCTGCTGCTGCATTCGCAGCTACGGCTGCCGCTGGAAGCGGGCCCCAAGGGCTGGAGCAGCAGCAGCAACAGCAGCAGCAGCAGCAGCAGCAACTGTTGCAGCCAGAACACAAGCAGCAGCAGCAACAGAAGCAGCAGCAAGTGCTTGATCGCCTCGCCAAGGATGCATCTCATGCTGCATTTGCTGCAGCGCGACGAATAGCTGCTGCTGCTGCTGCAGCAGCACCAGCTGCAGCAGCAGCAGCAACAGTAGCACTGAGCCCAGCATATCACGCCGCCTTGTCTCTGCTGAAACTGAACGGAGACAGCAACAGCTGCAGCAGCAACACCAGCAGTAGCAGCAGCAATACGCATTCAAATGAGCAGCAGCAGCAGCTTACGCACGAGGAGCTGCAGCAAGCTGCAGCAGTTGTGCTGCAGTACCGCAGCAAGAAAGACTGTCCGATGTATTTGCTGCTGCTGCTGCTGCTGCTCCGCCGTGAACGCCGGCTGCCCTCATTCGGCAGCGGCAGCAGCAGCAGCAGCAAGTATAGGTGCGGCATCCCTGCTTCGTGCTTCCTGCAGCTAACTGAAGCAGCCCAGCAGCAGCAGCAGCAGCAGCAGCGAAAGCAGCAGCCCTCTCAACAGCAGCAACAGAAGGAGCGACAGCAGCACCAGCTGCTGCAGCAGGATTTGCTGCAGCGGGAGAGAGGAGCACTGGCAGCCAGCGGCTGCTGCTGCATTGATTGGTGTCGGCTTCTTCTCAAGCAGCAGCAGCAGCAGCAGCAGCAGCAGGTCTGTGTTTTTCTCCCTGCGCCTATTGCACTGCATGCAGCAGCAGCAGCAGCAGCAACGCAGCCGTTGCTGCCCATGGCCTTGCTGCAGCTCTGCGACGCTCGGACGCACAAGCAGCAGCAGCAGCAGCAGCAGCAAAGTAACGCCTGTCCGTCGCACTGGTTGCTGCCCACAACAGCAGCAGCAGCAGCGGCACTTGCAGAAACACAAGCAGCAGCAGCAGCAGCAACAACCCGACTGCAGGCAGATGATGCTTCGCCTGCTGCACTAAGAACACAAACCACCGACAGCAGCAGCAGCAGCAGCAGCAGCAGCAGGAAGGACAGCGCTCTGGATTTTGCTGCAGCATGGGTCGACTCTTTGGTGCCTGCGTTAGAGCAGCAGCAGCACCAGCAGCAGCAACAGCAGCAGCAACTGATGCTGCAGCACCTGCTGCTGGGACGCAGCATACAAGAAGAAGTCGGTTGGCTGCTGCCCCGCGGATGGCACCGGCATGCTGCTGCTGCAGCAGCAGCAGCAGCAGCAACAGGAACAGGAACTGCAGCAGGTGGTACTGCTGCTGCTGCCGCTGCTGCTGCTGCTGCTGCACATCATGCGGGGTGTACCTACACCGTTTTGCTGCTGCTGTGGCGAGAAATTCAATCAGATGAATTTCTTGCCCTGGAAGCCTGTCCTGCTGCTTACCCGCTGCAGCAGCAGCAGCCGCAGCAGCAGCAGCAAATGCAGCAGAGGGATGCGTGTTTGGTTTGCGGCTCTTTCTGCTGCAGGAGCAGCAGCAACAACAATAACGACAGCAGCAGCTCCTGCTGCTGCCGAAGGCAGCAGGTTTATGAGTATAGGACGTTCCTGGTTTCTCGTTTGCTGCTGCTGCTGCA